GAGGTCCCTGCCAACCCCTACTATTCTGTGATATTCTGTGATATTCTGTGATATTCTGTCTGGCAGAGCGTCAGACACATTGCTGGCTCCCAACAAACAGTGAATGCTAAACCAGCCGCCGCTTCTTCACAGTTCTTCATGCTGGCTGCCGTCGCTGCGCTGCTGGAGTCACCCATGGGCAGTGTCCTGGTGTTACCGTCGCATCTCCCAGTTCTGCCCGTAAAACCAGTGAATTTCCAGATGCCACAACTGGAATATTGTGCCAGTCCACGGGCTAGATTTTTACCAGAAACACCTGTGGTTATATTCTGGATGCCAGCAACTAGAAAGCTCAGGGAGCATCCAGGGCACAGATTTTAAGGCAGAGTCGAGGAGGAGCCAGAGCTCTGGATACATCATCCTTTTTTGTCAGTCCTGCAGGGGTGGCCCAGAGCTGAGAGAGGACACCCTGACCGCGGCGGGGCTGCCTGTCTGCGGGTGGACGGGCTGTTGATGATTGTGATCTGCTCTTCTCCTCGTAGAAACTGTACCGGAAAGAAATCAAGCCGCCTTTCAAGCCCGCGGTGGGACGGCCAGAAGACACCTTCCATTTCGATCCAGAGTTCACCTCTCGGACCCCCACAGGTTAGTGGGGTGGCACGCGGGTAGCGCATCTGTCGGTGAGTGAATCCGTTCTTCCTTCCCCTCCCCATTCCAGTGGGGTCTAAAATCCGGTCACCTGTGGGACTGCTGGGTTTTGCAGTACCCAGCAGGAAGCAAAGACTGGTTTGCATTTCCAAGGAAAGAAGCTCATGAGCATTTCACCAGCTTCCCATTAATTTGTTTTCTGGAAGGACGGATGTCACATTTTTCATGGGAAAAATAACTATCCATTTGCTGTTTTATTACTCTTATCGTTGCTGATTTTAACTATTTTAAATTACCTCCGTTTCAAAGAACTTTGCATCTCTGCAAGTTAGTATAGAATTGTATATTCCACAGATGTTTTCTTTAATTATGAAACCCCACAGACTATGGGCTGTTGGAAGTTAATACACGGTTAACAGTAATGAAGAATGATCAAGTTCTCAGACCAGTGGAGTTCTGCCAGCAGGAAAGTTGGCCCAGAGTATTTAGAAAATCCTTGCAGTGAGAACGTCGTTCCTAAAACTTCTGTTTCCTAACGGGGATATCCCACTTTGTGAAGTAGATATATGAAGGTGATCGTTGCACAGAACACCATCTTTCCACTCCTTTAGTGGAAAGCAAGAGCATCAGTAACGTCCGAGTGGTAAACCCCGGTCATAGCGTTGCCTCTTGCTGGACATGGATAAGCTACGCTACGTTTCTGCCTGTGATGTTCCTGTGTAAAGAAGTATCTGTTTATACATTCTAAAATGGAAAAAATTAATTAGCTGCTGTTTGTAAAGCGCTTTGAAGATGGTGAGCACTGTAAATATCACATAGTATTGTAATAATGAAGTAGAAGGTCTCCAGCTTCAACCCTCAAATTGCCCCAGAACTGTTGCGGCGAGAGTAAAAAATCTGAGCTTTCAATACAAAAACCCCTCCGTTATAGCACACAAATCAGAGCTGAGTTCTTCTGTAGTTTTCGTTCAGGCTCATCATGACCTTTTTGTTAAACCTTGCCCAAAGCTCTCTCCGAAGCCTGGCTCAGACCTCCTTTCCTGGGGTGTGAAATAGTGAGATCTGTTCAAAAGTTTTGGTCAGTCCTGGTTCCTAGGTTTTTTGGCAAGGATGTGCTGACTTTCACAAGCTCTAAAAAAGGTTACGCTCCGATGATTTGGGTCGAAGTGGAGCATCCCCCTGTCTCCAGTGTAGGTTGGTGATGTTCGGATATTCCTGTCCCACCCGTTCAGACGAATGACCTTTGGATACCAGACATGTCACACCTCTGGTTTTAGCTTGAAGTCCGATTTCAGAGGAATCTCTCCGTCTATTTCTGTGAAATATTGGAGATTGCAAGCTAGTCGGAGCATGAGAGAAGTGCAGGCTGGTGTGCTGCCCTGGAAGGTCCCAGAGAATCATGGAGGTTTTGGATTGCTTTGGAAGTTCACGCTTCATTGGTCGTACTGGCATGAAAACCCTTATACTTCATGCATGTGCTGACGCCCAGGGTTGTATTTTACACCCTAGATGCTATTAATCTTGCCTAATTCAGTTTGATTTCTCGTGTAAGACACTGACTTGGAAAGTTTGTTTTGGGGTGGTGGCTGGGGCGGGGGGAGATGGCCTGCCTCCGTTCTACTTCATGCTATTACAGAAAGTGGCCTGAGAATCAAACCCCCACCTTTCAAAATGGGTGTAACTGGACGTGTGAATCCCTTTACACTTCCAGAGCGATGGAAGAGCCCTTGCAGACCGGCCATGTAGTTTGCAGCCCCTGACTGTTGGCTGGTCGGGTCACCCAGAAAGGGGGAGAGCATCGCAGGGGTGTTGAATAGTGGTGGAATCAGACAAGAACCTTTCTTTTTGTGTTTTTTCTGTCATGACATAGGCCCGGTACAAACTTACCCTGTTACTGAGCACGTACCCAGCCAGAAAACCCTGTAATAATTCCTGTTTGATGATAATAGGGCAGTTGTGTTTTAATGAACACAGGAGGGGGCACAGATACACGCAGTCATTTTGCACTCCGGCTTTACGAATGACTTCTCCTGCCTGGAAACAGGTTTATGTCCAAGTTTTGGATCCGGTAGCTTGCCAGGCCAGTAATTTGCTGTATCTCAGAAAGTTTCTTTAGCCTGGAGGTTGAAACAGCTTTCCGTGGATCCTTGACCTCAGCTCTGAGCGTGCCAGAGGTGCGGTTACAGAATCACAGAATCACAGAATAGTAGGGGTTGGAAGGGACCTCTGTGGGTCACCCAGTCCAACCCCCCTGCCGAAGCAGGGTCACCTACAGTAGGTTGTAGAGGCTCTTGTCCAGGTGGGTCTTGAATATCTCCAGAGAAGGAGACTCCACAACCTCCCTGGGCAGCCTGTTCCAGGGCTCCGTCACCCTCAGAGGGAAGAAGTTCTTCCTCATGTTCAGCTGAAGCTTCCTCTGCTTCAGTTTGTTCCTGACACCGACAGCTCATCTCTACGGGTATAGTTTTGCCTCCCTTTTTCTCAGGGATGCGTCTGAGTTGGAGTCGCTTTTTCTGGCTGCTGGTTTCCCACGTCCACTGCTATGGACCCACATCTCCTCTGTGCTGACTCAGCTCCTCCCAGGGAGCAGGAGACCGGAGTGATCCAGGTTGTAAATGGTGGCTTGAACGAGGATCCGGCCAGCCCGCAAGTGTTTGCGCCATGGCGGGGCAGCAGGCTGCAACCGGCAGGGATGCCTGAGGCTGGCTTGACTGCGGAGAAAAAATACGTCAGATTGCACCTGAAGGATCTATATTTCCTCCTCTGCAAAGAAGATAATAATGTTTGCTAACCCCAGTAAAGCATACGGAAGTAAATTACTTAAGATTTACGAGGCCTTTGAAAATCCCGTAAAATGAGATGCTCTAGTGGGAGAAAGCAGTAAGACTTTCATAGGGAGAAAGAGAACCATTAGACAAGATTGGTGTTCGCAAGTGGGTCCAATTCAGTCGTATGAAATGATTCTGGATTTATCGAGACTGGGAAAATTATTTCCGTTTCATAGCTATCAGTTAATTAGCATGATTTAAACCTAATTTTGCACTTAACACAGGTGTTCTAACATTTAATTCATATGATGGGCATATCGGTTGGTGATGAATATTTAATACACACCAAATAATCAGTGCTTCTACAGTGTTTGATAAAGAGATTGTCAGTGAATTATGAAGGAACAGTTATTTTTAAATAGAGATGACCTGGCACTTCCATTTCAGAGCCGGATCACAGCTCTTCTGAAGTTCAGGAGTGATCAGATTTGAATTATTGTCATTCCTTTTTTAAAACAAACATTTTTTCCTCTTAATTAGTCCCTCTTGGAAAATCACTGTTGTGCAGATGCTGTCGTAAGAAGCACCCAGTGATGCAAGAGGTCTGGTGTGATTCATCCGTGTATTTGCGAGGAGAGTGCCCGTCAATCCACGGAGAGAAACAAAGAGCCCACGTCATTTTACCAAAAGACAAACCTCTCCGCAGCGAGGTCTGACTTGCTGCGCTTATTTCTGACTCCTGTCCAAGCTGAGATCCCTTTGTAATGAGACACAGAATTAGCTGCAGGCTCCGTTCTGTTTATTTCCCAGCAGATAATTTGCTCCTACCATATTCTGGCTTCAGGTCCTCTGTTCAGTTGGCTAGTAAATTTACACCGGGGATGTCCCCCCCAGGAGATACATCCTCACCTATCTCCAGGACCTCGAGCATAAGCAGTCTTCCACGCCGTTGCCCTGCACACGAATGGGTGGTGGGGATGGTGTAGGCAGGCGAGTTGGATATTTTACTTACTCTAGTGAAGCCGGGTGTTTCCACACTTGTACAAGGAGATGGCTTTCTAAAGGAAGTTTGGCTTTGTAACCTTGCCCTGGTAAATCATATTTTGCACTGCAAGAAACGTGAAGGGTGAAGGGGGTGAGGACAAAAAAAAAGAACAAGTAATAAGTGGGCACCTTTGGGTACTCTAGGTTCTATAAGACCCAGGCAGGTACCCAGGAATGGTTGGCAACGCAACTCTTACCTGCTGATGAAAATACCTGGGACAAAACATAACTGGGGAGAAAGATCTCTTGAAAGCCTTTCAGAACTTGAAGTGCAGCTCTTCTCAGTTTGGCAGGCTGTTTCTCTCACCAAGCGCTGGTGTAGCTACCAGGAACTGCCCTCTCGTTATTTCATCCCAAAGGCAGAATAATTCAGGGCTCTTCCATCTCCAGCCATTCCTCCGCTGGATTTGCCATGTCAGGGGAAGGAGTGAGGAGAAAATCTCCATGAGGATTAGTTAAAACACTCCTAGCCATTATGTTGACCTGAGGACAAGTCAACCAGCACCTTCCCTGGAGTAAGTCCCAGCTCCTAAAGCTGCTGCAGAAAGATCCTTATGAGGCTTCAAACCACCGTGACTGGAGCATTGTGCTTTTACACCTGCTTCAGGTCCTGTCTTCTCTACATTCTCCTGACCCACACAACATACCACGTTACCCAGAAAGCACTTCAGCCTGTGTAATTTCTGTAGTCGAGGTGTGGTGTGATGGACAGATCCTGCAGCTTTTTTGCTGCTCCCTGGAGAACCTCTTCTAAGCCAAAAGGGTGCCCTGCTTTGAGGCATCCATCCTTCTCCTAGCCTCGCCGTCCTTCTCCCTCTGTGCTGTAAAAACCCCCCCTTGTATCAAAGAGGAGAGATCCTTGCGAACAATACCCCTGCACTGTTCAGATGCAGAGGAAAGGGATGGAGAAGGCACGCCAAAGCCTTGCTACGGTGGTGGATTACGTTCACGTGTGTTGGCCAGTTCAGCAGGACCTGCTGGTGACTGGCAGGGGTGACTTCGTTGTGGGTGCTGTGCTATTACTTTCTGATCTTCTGTGCGGCTGACGAGGCCCTTTTCCTCCTCCTCCTACAGATTCCCCGGGTGTTCCTCCAAGTGCCAACGCTCATCACCTTTTCAGAGGGTTCAGCTTCGTTGCCTCTAACTTGGTGCAGGAGCCTGGACAGCAAGATGCGCACAAAATCGCCGTCCACCCGATCGTGCAGGTACCGGTGCCGGCGTTGCGCTTCGCATTTGGTGGGCAGGTAGAGATGTGCAGAGTGCATTTAAACTGCCTCAGTGTTCTCTCTGGTATTTCATGGCTGCCCAGCATAGAATCAATCACAGAATCACAGAATGGTAGGGGTTGGCAGGGACCTCTGTGGGTCACCCAGTCCAACCCTCCTGCTGA